ATTCTTCGGCGATGGAGAGAGTACTTTGAAAAACTCCTTAACCTTGAGCAACCGCAGGAAGACGCGCCTGTAGGGCAGTATGGAAAGAGTATTAGTGTTTCTGTAGATGAAATGATACAAACAGTTTGAAAATTGGAAAGGCTCCTGAAATGCCCGAAGCATTAGGCGACAAATCAAGTGCTGGATTACAAATATCTGTCAAATTGCAATGGCTTCGAAGAAGACACCAATGGACTGGAGAACGTAGGTTGTTGTAGCCCTGTTCAGGAAGGAAGACAGGGAATGTTTCAATTATTGTGACATTACCTTATTGAGCATCCGTGGAAAAGCCTACCCAAAGGAGCTAGAAAAGAGGTGCCGCGGAATGACTGATTCCCAGATACAAGAAGAGCAGTGTGGCTTCCGCCCGATCAAAGCACCTCTGACCATATATTTGCCCTGCGCTAGACTGTTGAGAAATCGTGGGAGTACGCCTATCCGGTGTACATGTGTTTTGTAGACCTAGAGAAAGTGTATGACAGCATCCCACGCAAAATTCTGTGGGCATGTCTTCGTGCATACGGGATAGATGGCCAGCTGCGAAGCGCCATCCAATCACCTTATTCTGATAGCAGGTGCTGTGTCAGAGTTAATGGCGTTAAGTCGAAACCATTCAACGTTCGCACTGGTCTTCGCCCAAGGCTGCGTCCTGTCCCCTATCCTGTTTGTGTTGTACATGGATAGAATAGTCAGGCGCTGCCAAAGTGATGAGGGTTAGGTTGCGTCCTGACCCCTATCCTGTTTGTGTTGTTCATGGATAGAATAATCAGGAACTACCAAGGCAATGAGGATATCGGTGCAGGAGATGTGAAGTCGAGAAGGTTGCTGTTTGCAGACGACCTTGTTTAATTAGCATCTTCCGAAACTGATCTCCAGTACTCCTTAGAAAGGTTAGCAGCTGAGTGCGACGTGACCGGCATGCGTGTGAACGCATCTAAAACGAAAAACCTAGTGCTTTCTCGTTCTCCTG